TCAGAGCCCCCCCCCCCCATCACTGTTTAATACAATAGGACACTAAGTCGCAACAGCCGATTAAACTACATGGCAGGAGTACGCATCCATGAGGCAGGGGGAGAAGAAGACATGCAGAGACGAAAAGTGAGGTAATAACTACCTACTTGTTAAAAAGATGCATTAGTGCATTTCTCCGCGTGAAAAAAGTTCCTCCGTTATATGAGTGATGAGTTTTTTTTTTGGCCCAAAGAAATAATCTCCGTTTGAAATTCCTCTAAATCATAGAAACCCTCCAAGTCCGCACAGAAACAATCACCCATACAAACGTTTAACACAATAGGACTAAAGTCACAACATCCGATTGAACAATGGTTAGAAAGCTCATCGTGAGGCCGAAGTCGAGGTCGCCAAGATCCACAGGGAACCGTAACTCTCCGTGTTGTCCGTAATTCAGTCATAATCACCCACCGTGTCGTGAATCTTTGTCTAGCAGTAGCAATTTGTCCTTGAGTTGCGTTCGAATTTTGAAAAATCTGAGCCATTGGAATCAGGTCTGGGTATTTTAAGAACACTTTTACGCCTTTTTTTACCTTTGCCGAATGTTGCCGAAGTTGTGTCACAACAGGTAAAAGAGTGCAGAAATAGAATATGCTCAACTAACGTTTCTTTATCGAGGCTAACTCGGCTGTCAATAGTCACTGGAGTTTTTGATCTGCCTGGTTTCATGAAGAAAACGTTGTTAACGTCCATAGAATGAGCCGTTATTAGAATGAGGAGGTCAAGGTCCTCTCCAACAATTACAGTGGAACTCAATTGCTTTGGATGCAGTTCCCAAGTAGCATTTTTCAACGGAAAAATCGCGATTTGTTGCGATTTTGTCGGCGATAAAATCGTTAAGATCATCAACATTTGAGCGATTATCCTCGATCTTGTTGCAATAAAATCGCGATTTTATCGCTCGGTAATTTATCGCGATATTATCACGCTATCCTGAGAGTCCACGTCTACATCAAGACAAACTCTTCATTCGAAGATAGGGAGCAAATACATTAGCAGGGTCGCCGTGTCATCAGTTTTAGAGTCCCCAAATAAAGTGGCAGCCCTGTCAATGTATCAGCTCCCTATCTTTGCATGGAGAGTTTGTCTTCTCGTAGAGGTGGACTCTCAGGATAGCGTGGGATATCTCCTCCATTTTGGCCTCAACTTAAGAGCTTTGTTTGAGCCTCGGGGTTGATTTCAGAGAAAACCAGTGGCACCATCGTGTTTGTCGCGAACTTGTACATAAGAGTCAATAGTCAAATCGCAAATTCCTCTCACATGCAACATCTCCATCAGGGTGATATAATAGAAAAAAGTGCACTTTGAATGAACGGCGCGGGGGGGGGGTGGAGGATTTTTTCATGGCTGAGGGTCACTGGTATCAAGGGGCACCTGTGTAAACCATTCTGATTTTTTTTCACTTCCAACGGCATTACAGCGTTTTTACGCAGCAAATTTTACAAAAAATTCATAAACCCATAAAACTACCCCAAACGCGATCGCTTACAACTTTTGCCCTAATTGCCGGATTTAAGAAATCTGAAAGCCATTTGATAGAAAATTTTACGTTCTTTTAAAATTTAGAGTCGGATTCAGCGACCAAAATTACATGGGAATGCGTCTTACTTTTTTCTCCTCAGATTTTTGCAAAGTAGACCCCTTTCTTGGCACAGATTGACTGGATTAATGGTGTTTATGTCATTGTTAGTGTGAAGGTGTGAAGCGGGGTTTGGCGATCCAGGAGGAAGCATGGCGACTCCGGTAACGACGGACGACTCGTCAGTGCCCTCACTCCAGCTTCAACCAAAATTCTGCTTTCGCAGCCTCCAAGGTTTGTTCGCACATACCATCATCAAAGTCCACCACAGCTATTTCATTATACTTATCCTAAATTTCAATCAATGGGTCAGGTGCGCTGGTCACAGAATTGTGTTTTGATGCTAGATTCTTGCAGATAAGCTAAAAATATCTGTCCAAACCGCAACGTTCTACGTTCAATATTAACCGAGATATCGCACTTTGAAAGGTTGGGTTTTTGACGTCATCCACCGCGGTCGCCGTATCTTGGTGCAACGACGACGTATTAATGCAATGAGCGACTTATTTTGTTATCGTAAGCGGAAAAAATCGAAAGCCCCCCGGCTTTTTCCATGGCAAGGTTTGGCTGCAACTATTCGTGTTCTCCGGACGTCCGTGTTGCATACCCAAAAAATTGCAGGCGCTCTACCTTTCACAACCAGAATGTACGGCTGCGGGACGCGAGTGTTATAGTTCTCAAGGGTTACGCACGTTGTATTTACAATCGCGTTTACCTCGGGGTTCGAATAACTCGTGCTGCGTCACGGCAACGTTGCCAAATGGTGCAAATTTTCCAATAACAACATTCCAACGAAGACATCGTGAATGGAGATGTTGCATGTGTGAGGGATTTGCGATTTGACTGTTGTTTCTTATGTAAAAGTTCGCGAGAAACACGATGGTGCCACTGGTTTTCTCTGAAATCATCTCCCAAGCTCAAAAAAAGCTCTCGAAGTGAGGCCAAAATGGAGGGGATATCCCGCCCTACCCTGAGAGTCCACCTCTACATCAAAATAAACTCTCCATGCAAAGATAGGGAGCAAATACATTGACAGGACTGCCACTTCATTTGGGGACTCCAAAACTGAAAACACGGCAACCCTGCTAATGTATTTGCTCCCTATCTTTGCATGGAGAGTTTTTTTTTTTATGTAGAGGTGGACTCTCAGGGTAGGGCGGGATATCCCCTCCATCTTGACCTCACTTCGAGAGCTTTTTTTGAGCTTGGGAGTTGATTTCAGAGAAAACCAGTGGCGCCATCGTGTTTCTCGCGAACTTTTACATAAGAAACATCAGTCAAATCGCAAATCCCTCACACATGCAACATCTCCATTTTAGTCTCGCAAAATTACTACCGCTAACATTTCCGCAGTTTGCACAATTTGGCAACGCTGCCGTGATACTGAATGCGACGCTTTGTGCAGATGAAGTGGATTCGATATTCAGTCCGACTGCAGTCTTTTTAAACTTTTTCCAATTTCCCCTTCAGATGTACACAGATCACTAAGCAGAACCGTCCTGCGTGATTGAGACAGGGGTAACGAACATTCATCACGATTATTGCGATTTGCAAATCTCCCGTTGTATCATTTTTTTAAGTTTAAAACTCAGCTTTACTGAGAAAAACGTCCGAAAACGAAACATATTATCGTTCGGTGCTCTATGTCGATCAAACTATCCGGATCGTCAAACCGAACATTCAGTTCGTTAGATCGTATCGGACGCTTTGATTGAACCGAACCCATGAAAGAAGTTATCGGTCACAAAAATCGAACGTTTAATCTTGTGAACCGAAATTTCATTCTGACAAACCACATAGTTCGATTGATATGGAACCCTAAACGTTCAGCTCACACGATCGGGCTATTTTTTTTCAGTATACCTCATCGTTTTGCGGAATTTTCTCCAATTCTCCTTTTCGCGTGTGAAGGAATGACGAATTTGTGCGAAAAAATATTGCCTATACAGGGTGATCCAGGGTTAAACGGTCAGACTGTAGGAGCGTGTTCCATGGGTCAAAGTCAGACTTTTTTGTTGTTTAAAGTTTTTTTTACAACGGTGCCCCCCGTCGGAGCAATCCCCCCCCCCCCAAATATCGGAAGGTAAATCGTTTTTCCTGAACTCTGGCAACGGTTGTGAACCAAATCTCATGAAAATGTGTACTTTCCTGTACTTTTATGCCCTAAATTTATATACGATTTAAAATAATTCGAAATCTCAATTTAAAGGGGAAGGGGGGTATTTCGGCTCCTGCAGTCTGGCCATTTAACCCTGGATTACCCACACCCTGTATAATTGGAAATTTTGAACTGTGTGCGTGGTTTGTTGCAGATATGGTGCCAGCGCGGGTGGTGCTGTACATGCTGTCGTTCTCGGGGTTTCTGGTGAGTTTCATGTTGCGCACGGACATCAACATAGCCATCGTGGCCATGGTCAAGCACCCCTCGACGCCGACCAACAGCACCGAGGCCCAGGAGAAGTACTGCTTCGTCCCGCCCACGTCTAACGTATCCGAACAACCGGACGTCAACATCACCTCCTTATCGGTAAGGAATCGTCCGTAAAAGGATCTCCCGTTTTCCCAAGTGCCTAACTCCGAAACAAAACAAAAAAATTTAACCTTCTTTCCTCCATAAAAAAATCCAACAAATGAAAGAAGGGACCATTCGTAAAGTGCATAACACAAAAAATTGGATTTTTACTCCGCTCTCAACTCTTAACGCTACCGTAACGCAGATCTATAAGCCTCCCTTAAAAAATACGTAATGCTCTTTTGAAACTTCCCATAAATACGAAAATCACTGATGAGCCTCAGTTCTCTCCTCACTTTTTTCTGCATATTTGCGGGCAAAAATTAATGCAAAAATGCAAAATAAACGGCCCGAGTTACAGGGCCGGATTTCCCTACTTGCCACCCATGGGCCGCCTGTATTTTGCCGCTCCTTCTTATTCGTTTTGAAACATCGATACAAACCATCAAGTGAACGTGCCGGAGGAGAAGTGCATTAGACGCGTTTACTCGTGTTGGGCAAATTTCTTGTGAAAGCCCTGTCAACACTAGCAAAAGGTCACGGAACTTTGCGCGAAAATTAAGTTCCGTAAACCTATCTCTGTGTGGACGAGGCCTTTCAATTATAAGAAAAGAACGAAAAAATTACGAAAGAATAAACATGAATGTGGTTTAATGATGTTAATTTCCGCCACACCGCGCCAACCGCACTGTGTTTGGCGCGATGCGTAAAGTATACAGTCCTGTAAGCGCTGTGCGTTTCACGCCGACCGCTGCTGACCGCACTACGTTTGACGCAATGCGTGAAGTATCCATGGAGTCTTGTAGGCGCTAATATGATGTGATTCATGCTGACCGGCGCGGTGCGCCGCGCCAATGGCTTCTCCTTTCCATCTCAAGTCCGCGTCATCATTGCTGCAGTCTGCGCCGCGCCACTCCAGGCCAAATTACGTGTTTGGTTTCTCTCTCAACTAGACTAATGATAGGTGCTGTCTTTCTTATCACCGAAAGACGAACAAATTAGAAATCGCTATACTTGAACTCTCAGAAATGAGAGATTTTTTCGCCTTTTCTCGTTTGTAATTTTTCCTCTGAATCAGATTTTTTTCTTGATACCTACATTTGAAAAATTACAACATTTGCCACCATGGGCCGCGGCCCATCCAGTCCTGCCCGAGTATTGTTCTATCATAAAATTCAAATGATTAAAGAGAACAATGGAACGAAAGATAAAATTCCAAGGAATATGACAATAAAATAAAATTTAATTACAAAAAATGAAAAAATTGATCAAATAAACAAGTGCATCTCATGTTGTACATTTTATGGTTTGAAAATTATTTTGAAATTTAAAAGTGACGTTGCTGTTCATCTCTACAATCGAGTCTCGAGGAGGAACGGAACTCAAAACCACCTTCTCTCCGTTCGATCTCAAGGTACGCAACTTGTTTCTTTCTATTAAACTCGATCCATTTTCATGTTTTCCAGAAGGAGGGTGAGTTCGACTGGAGGCCAACAACGCAATCGGCCATTCTCGGGTCATTCTACTGGTGCTACATCATGTCGCAGATAATCGGTGGTGTTCTGACACATCAGTTCGGCACTAAAATCGTGTTTGGCTTCGCGCAGTTGGTCACAGCTGTCTGCTCCTTGCTCATCCCACAAGCTGCTGTCTTTCATTACTCCGCGCTCATAGTCTTGCGCTCAATACAAGGCTTTGCCTCGGTAAGTTCAGCGCGTTTCGATGTCAACCTAAATTGAAGAGTTTGCCCGTAGGACTACGTAGCAAACTGCCCGTAGGAGGACGTATTATACATAAAATTGCTTTGTTTTGAAAATCAATCATTACTTGGTTCGAGCGACCAAAGGCTCAGATCCTTAAAAGTTCCTTCATATAATAGGGTAGGCAAATCGGGGCACCATAATGCACAAATAGTTATCTTATCGATCTTGCTTTGTCATGGACCCTCTTGCCTGACAAACTCCACACTTTGCTGTCATGGAAGGAGACTTTTCTATCATGATTCTCTTGAATATCACCTGAAACCTCCATTAAAGGCAGGAAGTAAGTGACTTTTTTTCTTAAATAAAAAAAAAAAAAAAAAGCTATCAGTGATATCGAATAATACCGATTTCAAAGTAATCTTGGCCAAGAAATCGACCTTTTTCAGACTTTGGTCACCTGTAGGATAGCTGCAATATAAGTATGATGTACATTTTGTACTGTATATATTTTTCTGACATTTTATTCCTCCATTTTTTCATCTTTTCTTACTCCTACTTCGCATCATTTTCCTTCAGCTGTTGTTGATCTCGATGTAACTTGAAATAAGAGTTCTTATCCTAAAAACGTGCAGTTCTTGCTCTGAATCCTTTCAAAAGTGCAGTTTTTGATCATTTACTTAATATTGGTACATACATTGTGTATCGAACCGCCAATTTTAACTAAGCTTGCAACATCCACTCCATTCTCTTTCTTGGCGTATGTTTTTTTTTCCATTTTTCTTCTTTCAACATCTCATCAGGCATCTGGCTCCTCCTCTTCTCTTTCAGAGTTTCAGACCTTAAATTTTCAATTTTCAGCCCTGCTCAATCAATTTCAACTTCTCGTGAGGTATAGTTTTAAAATTGTTAACCTTTTTTTGTTGAAATCACATAAATGTCATCCCGCTACCTTCATTCTGTGAGGCCTCAATCTTTCTCAAATGCAGCAAGAACAGATTTCTATTTGAGCCAAGATTTGATATATGTATAGGTATACCCCAGCTTCTATACATTTTTACATACATTACTTTTAAACGTTCTCATGGCTCTGACGAAAGTTTTTCTTTTTGTAGGGTTTAACATGGCCTGCAATGTACGCTTTAATTGGCCACTGGATTCCGTCCAATGAGAGAAGCAGATTCATGTCATCAATACAAGGTGAGTTTGAACAATTTTTTCCCGTCTCCTCACAGAGAGGGAGTAGTATGTCAAAATATTATACGCCAAAGAAAAAACTTTCTTACTTGTCAATGCCCCCTCTGAAAAATTCACGTCTTATTTCCCCATAACAGGTAACTGCTTCCTCGGCATGGAACAGTGCTACATTAAGAAATTATTCTCAGCTGCTGCGTTTCAAAATTTTTACTTTCTTTTTGTCCTTTTTAATGAGTTTTACTGTTCATTTTTGTACGAAACTTTCTAAGATGACTTTGAAAAGTAGATGAAAAATCATTTGAAACTTTGGGCAGTTACATTAATCATTCATCATTCCATACAGTACTCTGCAATGTCGCAAGCCAAGATATCGGTGGCCAAAGTGAGAAGCAACGTTTGTTCATTGTGATACCTTGAAATTTCTGCTCCTATCTTTTTTTTATAGAAGAAACAAACCAACTTTATAGTTTGAAATTTATACAGAATATTCTACCAAGAGAAGAAAAATCAAAAAAGTTTTCAAAACTAGTTGAAAACTTTACTAGTTGACGTGAAAACTAGTTTCACGTTGACTAGTTTTCCACAGAATAAATGGAGTAAGACAGGAAATCAAAGTTGCAAATAGTAACAAGTAGTTTTACAGTTTGGCCAATGATATGTGGTTCTGTAATTTCACCGATTGATCGTCACCGTCGATCTTGGGAAACTTCATTCATTCAAAATTACTCTGTGAGATTTCAAGATTTTGATGAGTATTTAGTAACCATCCAACCATATGCCTAAATAAATTATTGTGACATCTCTTCAACAGCCTTTAGTTCAGAGGCTCTTGCTCTCTAAAATTCAAGTGTCAAAAATTTACTTTTTTGATGTTGAACATCAACATTTGAAATACTAATCAGGGAAACAGAGTCTTCAGCTCAATCCACAAAACTACCCTAAGTGAATCAGGTTTTCTTAGAGTAAGACCAGAAAGAGCTGACCAAGATTGACTTCCTACGTTTGAAAGCCACGAAAGCAGTACCTATTAATTGTTTATGGAAATTAAAAACTAGGTAGTAGAGTGGTAATAGGTAGCCTGGATGTTAGGGATGTCTTTAGGGATTGGGCTGACGTACCCGCTGTGTGGCTTCCTGATCGCGCATTATGGTTGGCGCATCGTTTTCTACACGACCGGCTCAATTGGACTTTGTTGGTGCGTAGCCTGGTGGCTTCTGGCGTTTGATCTGCCGCACAAACATCCTCGCATCACCCGATCTGAGTTGGCGTACATTCAGAGGACTATTGGCAATACTGTCATTGGTAGAAAGGTATTGTGCTTAAATTTTTCGATGTTGTTCTAAGTTTGAATGAACCTAGGTTCAAAAGTTTTGGTTTCAACAATTTTTGCTGGTGTTAAATCTCTGCTGAAAGCAAACAAATATTAGGTAGAAAACCTAACACATTACTGTCATCTAACCATCTATTTTTTTAAAAAAATTATGTTCCGTAGTATCCTGTGCCTCAAAATGTACCTTAAATCTGGTATAGCTTATCTCTATAAAAAAGTGATAAAAATCGTGTATTCTTTTGCGCTAAATTAAATTAAATCAAGACGCGTTTCGGGGTCAAGATGGCCCCATCATCAGCCGGCAGCAAACACAGCAAGTTCACTGCGGGCTGATGATGGGGCCTTCTCGACCCCAAAATGCGTCCCAATTTAATTAATTTAGCGCAAGTGAGTACGCCATTTTTATCACTTTTTTACAAAAATTGTTTTGTGACTGTCCCCTACAAAAGTTTCTATAGCTTATCTCTGTAATGCTAGTTTAATCCAAGAGATCATTGAATGGATTAGGCATCAAATGATTCCATGATCTTACCAAAAAAGCAGCAATTCAAACTTTTTAAAGAAATTACTGAAGTTAGTAGAGAAGTGCTTCTTTTTTCTGTGTAGAATATTGCTCTCTTATGCTCTCCTGTCTTTGTATTCTCAGGAAATGAAAGTTCCATGGATGTCCATTTTAACATCTGCGCCTGCCTGGGCCATTGGTGTCACTACTTTTGGTAGAATTTGGGTTTATTATGTTTTCATCATTTATGGACCATTGTATATGAAGACTGTTCTGGGCTTCAGTATACAAAAGGTACAAATTTTAATCATGAAATAATGATCTCATCTCATCTTTCTCGGCAATTTTTTCAAATGATTTGGATGAAATTTTTATGTAGTGTTTAACCGAGAAAAGAAAATTATCTTAGTCCTAGTATACCTAATGAACTAATGTGGAGGTCGGAGATTTTTTCATCAAAAGCATACTTTTTGCAAACATCAAATCAGCACACTTGCAATGCATGTTTGATAAATTCAAAGAATTCTTCGATAATTCTTCCATACGTGTAATTTTGTTTGATACATCAGCGGTGAATTCGCAGTGGTGTGTACCTTGTTTGGGGTGTTTTAAAAACTCTGCTTCAATGGAAAGAAAACAAATCAGCGCTGCTGCTTGAACTGTTCACCAAATATTCTATTTGCAGAGGGAAAAAATCAGGGAAATGACTACAAGTTTTTCTCCATTCAAAAAATATAGTATGACAGGTCGTCTGCAACGTTGCAAACTAAGATATGCATTCCTGCAGTTTTACCATCAATATGTGCTCCAGGTAAAATAATGTTTGTCAGTCACTGATAACTGAGGCAACTGTGACAACTCGAATTAGAACAAAAAAACATTTTTCTGGGATGCTCTGTTAAGTTTAAAATCCTTAAATTTTGGAGAAATGCATTCATTAATACATAAAGTGATATTCTTTTAAAAATTGTGTAGAACGCCATTAGTTACTGGTGGCTCAACATTTCAAGTGTCTCCTGATAAAGTTGTAGCTTGAAGTAAGGTAAAAAACCAGAAAATTTGCGACCATCAGTTTGAAATGAGGGAGTTTTTGGCAATGTTAGCATTCTTATTAGCAATAATCTTCAGTTGCTTTTTCCAGTTTATTCTCATAAAATGCATCTTTCTCTGAAATCAATTTACAGAAGCAATATTAATGAGTCTAGAACATTTTTAGCGTACTTATATATTTAATGAACCACGTTTGTCCTAATATATTTTTCCTCATTTACAGAATGGTCTATTAAGTGGAGTCCCCTTTTTGTGCAGTTACTTATTATCAGTCATATTTTGTTACCTAGCAGATTACCTTATTGCTCATGGGATATTATCCTTAACCAATGTGCGCAAATTGTTCACTGCTGTATGTAAGTATCTCTTCAAATGACATTAAACTTGTTTTAAAAATGATTTCAATTAAAGACAAAAGAACTTCGTCGGACATCTACACAAGTAACACAGCTTGCCATAAAGTGAAATTACATGGTAAAATGATTGATTTTTTTTTTTTTTTTTTTTTCATTACAAATTTCTCACCCTCCGTCACACGCGGGACTATTGATCCTTTTCATCCGATATGTTTTTCTCTAATGATGGAAAATTATCGAAATTTTATATAAAAAGAAAAAAAACCAATTTTATTACATTAATATGAAAAATCGTTTCAATATTTTCATTGCACTGTGCTCGTTAGATTGCCCTGTTTGGAGGTCATCTCACACCACAATTTGCATATTATCCTAGATATAATATAATATAAATTGAGAATGAGTGTAAGTTATGTGGTTGAACACTATCCGTCACATGACATACCTCGAGCAGCTTCCTAAAATTGATTAATACAATTTGGAAGAAGTTGCAAAGGTTTTTTTTGTGCAAGGAGCAGTCAGATCAAATTGCAACGAACTTTAAAGACATATTCTTGGCATCAAAATTGATCAAAAATTCTTACTTTAATCACTATTTGATTTCTTTGATTTGCTCATTTTGCAGCTCAGATCATTCCAGGCCTCTTGTTACTTGCAATCGGTTACCTGGGTTGTGAAATCAATTTGGTTCTTGTTAGTTGGTTCATAGCCGTTACTGTAATTACTGCAGCTTTCGCTGGAGCAATGGCAAACGCAGTTGATATCGCTCCTAACCTAGCAGGTAATGATTGCTTCATTTTCTTCCAAAATGCCTCTTCGACCTTTGGCATCATCATTAAAGTCTAAAAACTGTGGGTTTTGGGTTTTAATAAGATAAATTTGTCGATGAATTAGGAAAAATCAAGATTATTTTGATCATTAGGTAGTTATAAGTAAAAGGCCTTATCTTGTCAGCTTTGTGAAATCCTAGTGTATGACTAAGCATATATCATGCAGGCATAAATTAAACTGCTTTATTTTGATGATAAGTACACAGAATTATTTTTATTTTTGGCTGTAACATTGTTCACATTTTTTTTTTATCAAAAACACTTGCTCTCTAAATCTTAGTTGAACTCAATAACTCTCAGAAATTCATGAAGATAGACTGTTTTTGAGGCACTATTTAAATGTATCAATTGAAGAAGTAGGTAAAAGGTGAGTAATCCTAAAACTGATGTGGTTTATGTAATAACGTTCTGTATTTTACAAGAATCAATGGTTTATTTTTAAATTGACCCTCTCTATCATAATGACATCTAACCGCTTGTCAAGTATCACTATATTGGTACTTTTGTCAAATATAAAGTTTAACTTCCTCCGTCTTTGGTTTTAGGTCCAGTTCTCGCATTTGCACAAACAATACATATGTCTGCCAGCTACTTATCATCTTTGACTGCCGGTGTTATTTTAGAAGAGGATGTAAGTTGGTGATGTTATTTCTTTCTCATTCGTAGATCCTAGCCGTCGTTTACTAGTATTTCTATCCCTATTAAAATTAATCTTATCTCAGGGAACAAGTTTACCGGTGCATCAATTTTTTCTGTCCCAACTGTGCCACAAACGCAGTAAGAAGTGCTTAGAAAACATTAATGGATTCTCCCCTCAAAGCAGCTACCCTCACTCTTTAACCCATTTGCGTACTAGGATTCTTTTACCCATTGCACCTAGCTGTACAAGTAATCAGAAAGTCTAGGAATTTGAAAATTTTGGAATCAAAGAAAAGCAAAAAAAGTGAAGAAAAGCTAAGGAATCCAAAATGAAGGTATTGTGGAAACTCTGCTGTTGAAGCTTAAAGCAGCTTTTTCTTCAAACATTGTATTTTTACCACAGATTTCAAACTATCATTAAACCAAACTCTAAAAATACTTTAGGGTCATTTTTTGGGCCAAAATGTTTATAAAAATTTACTCTATGCAATGATGCCAATCTCTCAGTCGTGAGTTTTTGTCACTCAGGTCCCTTTCCAATGGATGGTCATTAGTTTAGAAATTTTTGAGAAATTTTTACCTCAACTTCAAGTCCGCTATGTATGAGACTTTAATTCACCTTCATTATTGTTCGCAGACAAGTTTGGTTGCTTGGCGCAAAGTATTTGGAACGGCTGCCGTTGTTGCCATTGGAACGTACTCGATGTTCCAGTTGTGCGGAACAGCTGAAGTACAAAGCTGGAACTACCCAGATGGTAAAATCCCAGCCAAGACTGCACCGGAAGATCTTCAACTTCTCAGTGCCAAACCCCTAGAAAAAAATAATTTCGAAAGTGCCGCAGAGAGTTGAGCAGCGTCTCGGTAAAGTCTATTTGAGTTACTTTTCATTCCCCTAATTTTGTTACCTATTATTTTTTCTTCATTACTAAGGATGTAATCTCTATTTAAGACTTATTTTTGTACTCTAGTTGAATTTAGTCAAGTATAGTCATTATATTTTCTACCTTATGAATTTGTTAATATTTTATTTTGATTGCAGTTTAAGAGTAGATAAAATCTTACTCTATAGTATAAAATCATATGCGCTCCGCGTCACACTGAGGGTGTCATGCTTAAAATATCATAAACCGGTTCCTCCTCAACTCCCCTCCCGCCGCACACGCTCACATGCTTCCTGCCGTCTCCAGAAGTCCAAAGTCCAAACCGGGTTTTCCTCCACTCCCCGCTTTCTTCCCGCCACCCACGCTTACGTGCTTTCCGCCGTCTCCTGCTCCCCTCTGGCTCGGAGCCCTCCACCACCTGTGCCCCTCCAGCTACCGTTGCCGCTACCCCTGTGACTCTTAATTACCTCCCTCCGTTACCCTGCCCGTCAATCACCACTGTCGTTTTGGCAGTAATTTTGTCCGTTCAGTTATCTCGGCGATTTTGCCGAAGCAAGAACTCTCACAATTCCTTAGTCTATCTCTCCCTCTTACACTTAGCCATCTAATCCAACTTCCTTAATTACCTATCTAACCTTTCTTACCTATTTTTCTTTTATTTTTTTAGCGGGAATTAGTTCCAGGGCCTTCCTGATTTGATAAGTCCTACCAGTGGGCCGGGTAGGTGAAGATAGCGTTTACAACCTTAATCCTTTCCTTTACCTTGGGGGTGTAGTTAGGTTTTTTTTCTTACTTTTTATTATTCTTTCATTGCCTTACTCAGAGAATCTGAGCGTATTAACATTGTCAATTTCTGCCATCTATTTGTTGCCACAGTAACAGCTTAAAATGAATTCAACTCATCGCCTCACTATTATCGAACCTAACTCGAGGGGTTGGGCTGTGTAGCGGCCAGGGGGCAGAGCCCCCTAGTTATTTTTATTAGGTCAATTTCTGAGCATCTGTACCAATTTTGACAACTGAAACATCTGCAAAGATACATTTGTATGATCATCAAAACAATGTTAACACAAGTTGGGCGAATTCAACCGGAATCGACCTAACCACATTTCACACTGCCTAATTTTCTCTCATGTTTTAGTTTTTTTCACAGTAAACATAACACCTAAACGCCATTAAAATTTTTGTGAATTACCTTAGATTATGGAGATTATACTCGCAAACTTTCAGTTTTGTCTGGTTCTGTTAAAAGATAAAAAATCAGAGAAATTCAGACCTCTGTTATAGTTAGATTGATTTCGGTAAAATCCGTCCAGTTAATTGACTGAAAAACGGCTGATACCGAAAATGAATCAGTGAGAACGAAAACACACCAACTCGGTAACTCAAAAATGCTCAACTTCCATTAAAGACAGTTAATTTACATAAAAGTCATTGAAGTTAGTGCATCTGTTCCAACTTGGACCTTTAAAGTGTCCATAAGTACTTGTCTCTTGGTAGGCAAACTCTTTTTCTTAAACTGACTTCTTCTCCTACGGTACAGTTTTATGTGTGTCTTGATTATTTTCATTTTTTTGAGTTAGTGTGTTTTCGCTCTCACTGATTCAAATGACCAACATTTTTTCAAGGATCAAAATCCTAGATTGTTTCATTATCTCAAAGAAAAAGATATGCCAATGAAATTGAATTATCGTGAGCCTCAAAATGATGATAATTATAAGCTTTGAAGTTTTTATTTGGAGAAAAGTCATTTTAAGGAAATCTCGCTTTAAGTTTAAATGTACAGACCCAGCCTCGTTGTACTTGTTAAATGCTTTGAACCCATTTCTGAAAATTATTTTTTTCAACTGAAACTAACGAAGTGAACAATAAAGTAATGAGAGCTCTTCTTTGCAAAATTTAATGTGTCTGTTGATATTTAGTCGAGGAGTTGATTTTGTAGCCTACCATTGTGTGAATTATTTTCTAAGTGAGAATTTGAAGGTAAAATAAGTCATGTCTTTTCATAGTTTAGAACTTATCTAGTAGCTCATTGACAGTCAGTCAGTTTTCAAGCTCCTACGGATGACTCAAAACTCAATAACATTTAAAATCCACAAAACACTCAGAAATTCTGAATGTGTTACTTTTCTCAATTCTCTCATTTTGCATGAGGAAGAGAGGAAAAAGAGAGGAAATAGGTTTTGAGTTCTCTGCGTTTACATTCCTGTTAAAAGTACAGAGATTTTTCTTGAAAGAAAATTTTTTACGTGTTTCTTTATTTAAGATGTAATGTTTCTAATTGTATGATTTTGTATAAGAAAAACATTGCCCCATGAATTTGAGAAAGTAACTGTTGAACACCTCAGGAAAAGACAAATCAATGAGCCAATCAATGAGTGATGAAGAAAAATTAGGGAAAGAAGAAATGTAAGAAAATAAAAGCAAAGGAAATTAATAAATATTATGAGTAAGTATACTGGCTTTTTATTGTCCTTTCTTTGTTGCATGCTTTTGAACCTAATCATACATCATCTAATTGTAAGTCTAGGGGTTGAAACACTTAGTGCAGAAATGATGTAAAAGGGTTGCAGGGGTGCTCAATTTATGCAACTATAAGGAAGCCAAGGAATTAGAAAAAAATAAGGTAGATATTTTGGGGGAAAATTCAAGGAGATTCTTTGTATCTTTTAGTTTCAAACCAAGTAGAAAGTTGCACGATCTCAGCAGCATTGCAAAGCTTGTATGTTGTTTCTACTAGAGTCCCTTTATACCCAGAGTTACGACAACTCACTTTTGGTTGGGCCAGGGTTGGGCTGAAAGTGGCCTAAAAAAAATCCAATTCTGATTGGTTCTCGCTCATGGAGGCCGAAACGAGTGCACCAAGATGGCGGTACCTCGTATGTGAACAAGAATAATGAAAATATTACCTAATTGTGGTTTATCAAGAGTAAATTGTTATTTCCATCGGTCCAAAATGAAAATAGATTAAGAAATTATTCACAAACCAATCTCATTTTATTTTTAATTGATCAGTTTGTTGATGTTGTTGTTTTTGTGTGACAGACATCGCAGGATTCCTGATCCTTATCCCTCAATATCGTTCGTTTGGGTGCACTCGTTTCGGCCTCCATGGCCAGCCAAGGCCGGCTGTCAGTCAGCTGATAATCGAGTTGTCGTAACTCTGGGTATAAAGGGACTCTAGTTTCTACAGAGGATGGCTGTTAGTGATGATGGCTCCTCTTCATCTAAACTGATTTTTTCAAATAATTTTTAAACCTTGATTTTAGGGGTTTTTCTTGCATACAAAGTGAATTTAGATGATGTATGAAGTTGATTTTTTTTCTGTTTGTGTGTTAACCCATCATAATAATTAAAAATTTAGTCAGGAATTTTAAAAGTTGAGACTTTCCTTCCCATAAATAAGTGAGTTACCTATGATACAATCAGTTTTTCAAACAAAATTCAACGGACACTTTCTCTATTTTCAATGAATTTCTGACTTACGAATGCATATTATATCTTGATATTTATCTAAATAATCCTCTCCTCCCTCTCTAATCATCCCTCATCTGGATAATGGGTTTAAAACATCGTGAGAAACGCAGATAAAAATTTCCTATACCCCTTGGTTGGACACATGAATTTTTTACCTATTTTTGTTATTAACCCCTAGGTTTATTATTGCTCTTCAGTAATTTCGCCTTTTTCCTCGAATTATGCTGTAAGATTCTTTCCTTCTAATTTTTCCTACATCTTTCCTTATCTATCAAGAATATCATTTTTCAGTTTGAAACTCCCATTACAAATTTCAAGTTATTATTTTATACATCCTTCCTTCAATAATTTTTTTTTTGTCCATTTCAACTTCTCTTTTGTTTATATTTTATTTTGTTACCGTCGTACCTATTATTTTTAATTTGAGTTTCCTAATATTTTCAGATTGTATTTATGTCACCCTCCTGAACAATTTTATACCCCAACAGCCCTCTGGCCCTGTAAATTTCACCTCTGGTAAGCTTTTTTTATGTTTTTTTTTTTTCTCTCTCTCTCTCTCTTATTCTCTATCCCGCCCGGCAAAATTACGTTGTGGCAACATTGCCAAAACGTTGCAATTTCGCCATTTACGTATTCGGGCAACGTTGTGGTAACGTTGCCACAACGTGTAATTTTGTCAGCTTGCATGAACGTAATTGGCAATGTGTCTGCAATGTGTTTTAGCAACATAATGGGAATGTTGCAAAAATACGTTTTAGCAACATAATGGGAATGTTGCAAAAATACGGTGAAAAAATTTCGGTGATTTATTTTAGGAGTACCTACTCTGCATTTTTACTCCTAGAATTCAATGTGGACCGCAGAGAAGCGTTTCTTAGGCACCCGAAATTCACTCTAAGTCCGATAGTAGCCGCGCTCCGCCCGGGTTCCCAAGCGGGCTCCCATCGAGGTACTAACTACGCCCGACGTTGCTAAACTTCAGTGATCGCCCGTGTGTCGCTGCCACTCAGCGACGGACGCTCCCGTGATAGAGTTTGGTTATTTAGCATTAATAAACATCCCTTCTCTTTCTTGGTTCCTATTTTTATTTTATTTCGCAGAGAATTCTAATTTCCAAACTGGGAGTTAAGGAAAAATTTACTCGAAGATACAACTGAAGGAATGAAGTACATAAAGAAATGCATAAAATTAAATTCATTCATCAAGTCTGAAAAAAAAAACGTTTCAGCTGGAAATAAATAAGTATCTTCACATCAATTTTGAAGACACTCCCGATTTTCCTGTTTTAAGGTGTTTCAGAAATTTTCCGAGATCCTCTTAAGGTCTCTCCTGATGTATGAAGATCCACTGAATCCGAATTGGACCTCTTTTTATCTCTGAACCCCCCCCCCTCCCCCGTTTTCTGGGAGGTCCAATTTTTCTGGGCCAAAAGCTTTTCTGGACTGCTCCCACTTCCGGGGATTTTAAAAAAAAATCCGCGTGCGTGACATATTGATTCTCGTGTAATTCAAGCTTATACAACCGAAAATGGCCTCAGA